AAAAGAAAAAAACAACTACATACCGCCATTTCTCGAATACATGCCACTGCTCACATAACCTGAAATGATTGATGTAAAAGCATAGCATACTATAAAAGTGGTAACAATTGCTCCTCTCCTGAACATTTGACAATGCAGGTAAAATGTCAAAACAAGAATAAAAGTATGAGGCTGCATCCCTCAGAAGAGATACATATCTAAATGAAGTCATAAAAATGAAACACTAGAGTTCCCAGTCCTGATATAATTATAAACACAATTCAAGTTCCTGGTGTTAGAAAATAAAATACAAATTTCATGGGGAAAAATTGGCCAACCTTGATTGAATTCACAGATGAACAAGAAAAAAGAAAGAAAAAAAAATCAAGAAATATTTATCAGCATACCCTATGTATAATGTCCCAACTATTGCAAATACAATGACAAGGAGAATAAGCATTGCCAGCTGTGCACCAGTGCCAACAACAGCTGAAAGTAAAGCTAAATTGTGAGGAGGCCGGAACACATCTCCATGAACAAGTTTCCAACCAGATTCTTCACTTACATCTCTCTCCTAGTAAATTTAAAGTTAAGCAGATATTATCATAATGTAAGCATTATCTTTTTGGAAAGGCAATAATATGAAGTTAATCAGCAGTGCATAAACACCCTCTACATCAATTTAGCCTTACCAGCGTCTCCAGGTCATCATCCTCACGAGCATATTTGGCATAGTCATTTCTAAGGGTTCTCATCAAAATCATGGACACCAATCCAGTGAGGAATATAACCATCATAAAAGAATTAAAAACAGAAAACCAGTGGATCTGCACAAAATAGTTTCCATTTAGAAGATTACTTAGATGAAGCCAAGAAGCATTTATCAGATGATAGCAACGTGAAAACTTCATTGATGACATTATTCTTCTCAAGGTTGTAATAGAGCCCAGAGTAGGAAGTATGAAGCCATTCATAAATGAAGTGAAGCTTTATGCATCAAATGACAAAAATGCATGGTTATATGTACATGTATACGAACATATTGGCACTTGAAACTTGAAAAACCAGGAAAATGAACCTGCACCAGCAAATCACTTTACCTGATGCTCAAAGAAAGGATAGTCAAGGTAAACATCAAAACGACGTGCAAAAGATATATTTGTTTGAATCCATTTAACAGAATATGTCATGTCCAACACTCTTCCCTCTTCCAAAGGTTTAGGGCTGTCGTGAGTAAGATTAACATGAATAATCTGACAAAGATAGCATATTAGAAGTTATACACATAGAAAGTTTCAAGAAATTCATCATGTAACACAAAACAAAAACTGAAAATGCTAACTAACCTTATCACCATTGTATTTGATAATAAAATTCTTGTTGGTCAAAAGCAGATGCTTGTTATCATGGGTTTTCTCAGGATACAGCTCGCCAACAAATCCTGACCACCAACACGATACAGTTTTTATTACTTTAAATGGTTCAGAAAGAGATCAAACTATAAAAGAAAAAGGCTAAAGTGAGAGAACACATACCCCATAATGGCAAGTCATCTGAATTAGGAATCAGCAATTGCATGACAAGGAGGGAAAAGGTCAAAGAGTAAGAACGCGGAAGATAAATTCACAATATGTCCAGCATAAGCTCTAACCAAAAAATGATTAAGTGTAATAATTTTAAGGAATGCCAGGGAGCAAAGTGGTAGGGATTCTAGAAAGCAATACATACCAATGAAGAACTCAAACCAATATGAATTTTCAATTGCTTCCTTAAATTGCTTGACCTTAGCTCCGTCCAATTCAAGGGAACAAATTGTACTCTTGTCCATGTTTTCTGCCAAAGAGAATCACCAGATTAGAAGTTTTAGATTTGGTTCATAAGATCCATGGTACAGTAGCGTGCAATACATACTCCTAAACTTAATATCAATTTGGCCATCAATAAGCTCATTTCCACCAAGAACTTCCCCAAGGCCACCCCATTTGTGGGCTGCATCGCCAGATGGCCGACAAAATGGAAGACTGTAATAGTTGTAGGTTTCTTGCGGGTTATTGTAGGGGCCAACCTTGTTAACCCATAAGATTACACGATCATTCACCTGATACTGTAGGCATAGGCAAAGAAGAAAGCTAAAAATTCAGGGTGTAAACTTATTAAAAAAAAAAAAAAAAGTGCATTAAACACAGAAGAATTTTTCACAATAAATCAATCCATGCTCCATCAATTTAAATGAAACCCTTATTCTATTTTCTCCCATTAGTTTAATCAAATCCAACATAATTGCAGCACAGTCAAGCATCCGAACCAGATTTTGATTAGAACCTTTGAGGCAATCACAACTAGTCATTTAGCGACTATGAACAATTAAAATAGATTGGACTACGTCAACCATATTTTCAGTTGTTTTATTCAGGTCACATCTTATTAGACTTTGAAACATGAATAGAACTGCCACGATTTCAGAGTAAAATGTAACAGTACCTAGATTTCCTAGGCTGATGAAATTGAAAACCAACAAAATTTAACCATGTTAATTGATACACCAACTAAAGATAATAGGTGATTTCAACAAGATTCTTCAAAAACTGCAATCAACATTGGATCAATTTCATTTCGAAATTCAACATCAGATGTGCTTCGTTACATCATACTAGTTCACCATAACTAGAAAGCTCTGAAAATTCAGCAATGACGCTCAGATACTGAAATTATACTCAAAACGAATTGTCTAAATCAACAATACTGAGATACCAAACAAACATTCGCACTACTCATGAGTACGTAACGCTAACTCCAACAACATTCAAACAACAAAACTAACATAAATAGACATTACGAATTCGAGATCTAAAGTAAAATCCAAAGATCAAACGGATGCATAAAAGATCCAAGCATCAAGATCTGTGCCAAGAGTCTGGATACTTACTTTGTGATCGGATTCGGAAGCGAATGCGAGGGGGAGGAGGAGGGAGAAAATGAGAAAGAGGCGGAGCATGGCTGCCGGTCGGCGGAGTAGATCAGGAGAGGACTACGGATACTGCGATTTGTGTTTGGAAGAAAGGATTCTCAGGCTTTTGTTGTCATTTGCATTATTCTTCTTCGTACGGTATTTTTTTCTTCCGGTTCTTGTAGTGGAAAAGGAGAGGGAAGATAGTTCCGCGAAACTCTTAATACTATCAGCATAGCTCATGGGCGCGTGTGGTGTGCAACTCTAGTAGATATGTCACCGACTCAACGTCGCCCTGGGCACTTGTTTGGGAATAAATGATTTGGTTGATGACCAATTTTAAAGTAATTGTAAATCTAAGGACTCAACTCTCTGTTTAGATCTTAACTTCCGAATTTTAAGGTTATTTGCCCTTAACTTAAAAATTGAAGGATGTTGTCAACTATTTAAATAATTTAGTAATTATATTTTTTTTGTTAAAAATAAATAATTTTAAGTTCGAGTCGCATAATATGCTAATGTAATGAAATAAAAGATAAAATATAATTATTTTTTATTATATGATTAAGATAAAAAAAAAAATTAAGGATGTTAGCCACTTATTAACATGATTTGAGACAATTTTACCTTACTTTCACAGATTTGAGGCATGTTTGTCATTTAGCATCAATCTAATCAGTCATGTCTATCCCACTAAACAACTTATCAATGTTTATTCTTTTTATTTGGCATGATAAATGGCAATGACACTCTAACAAAAATATAACACAGGTTCTAATCTATTATTGTCATTGTTGTACATCAAGTAAAAAAGAGGGCACTAATCTATTACTAAATAAATTAGACATAGTGTTCAACTAACATTCATGTGAAAAACATTGTCTTAAATCTATTAACATAAAAGTTAAATTACTCAAATTACATTATTAAAGAACCAATAACTTT